TGTGTCACTGCAGGCACCCACTGTGGAGTGAGGGCCATGACGCGGAGGCACAGCTGTGCCAGACCAGCTGGGAAGCCTCCCGCTACGTGGCTTTAGCTTTGCAGGTCATGCTTCCAGGTGAGTCTGGGAACTGGCAAGGATGGGATGGGATGGGATGGGATGGAGAACAACTGCGGAAGCCCAGCTCACCATCCTCAGGAAGCCGAGCCCATCTTGCAAGAGGAAGCTGGACAGGGCCCCCCGGAAGCCCCATCAGCCCTCTCCGACTGTAGGTACTGTTTCGGATGCTCCTCCCCTCGTCCTACCTGAGCGTGGAGCACCCACAGCAGTGGGCTCACACAGCCTTCTCCAGCCACAGAGGGGTACAGGCAACATCCTACCGTCCCCCTTCGTCTGAAACTGAGCTTTAAGGTGCTCAGGATGTGCCCCAAATGGGGGGACAGTACAAAACCATCCTTCAGAATAAGGTTGTCTTGCTGAAACCGGTTTGGCTCAGTGGATAGAGCGTTGGCCTGCGGACTGAAAGGTCCCAGCTTCTATTCCGGTCAAGGGCATGTACCTGGGTTGCGGGCACATCCCCAGTGGGGGATGTGCAGGAGGCGGCTGGTCGATGTTTCTCTCTCATCGATGTTTCTGACTCTCTATCTCTCTCCCTTCCTCTCTGTAAAAAATCAATAAAATATATTTGAAGGAAAAAAAAAAAAAAAAGGAATAAGGTTGTCTTTATGTCCTCATTTTACCTTGTCTCTTGCTGGTGTGATACTCTGTATATCAGATCTGCTCTGGAAATATGTGTCAGAAGGGGAAAAATTAAATTTGTATTTTTCCCTGGTCACCAAGGCTGTCTCTGAGCTTCACTCTGGTTCTTGGGCTGCTCCAGGCCAGCCCTTCCAGGGGAGCTGAGCAGACCCAAGACAGTCAAGTGCAGAGGCTCATACCAAACCCAGGCACAGAGAGGGGACTAGCTGCCCTGCGTTCCTCCAACAGAGACAGGAGCACAAACCCCTGGGCTCAGGAGCCACCAGGGAAGATCCTGTCCTTGTGGCCAGTCAGCCAGGCAGCGTGGCCCTCGGGAATGGCCAGGGTGCATCTGGATCCCCAACATCCAGCTCTCACTCCCGGCAGCTCACCGCCCTCTCCCGGGGCCGAGACTGGGTAAGAGACACCAATGACGAAGCCAGTCCAGGCCCTCACGCTGGCTATGCTGCTCTGCCACACCCTTCCCGGCACCAAAACAGCCTGATGTGCACCCAGAACGCTCCTGGAGGCACCCAGCCCTCCCCACGCGCATCACACCTCAGCCGCGGCCCCGACACCAGTACTTGAGGGGCAGCTTCTCTTCCAAACCCCCGTTTCCCCACATGAACCCCCGCAGCTCCTTCCGTTCCAGCCTGTCTCTTCTGCTCCTGTTACACTCAGGGGCAGAACACATTTGGACCTTGCTGCCCGTAGCCCTGACACCGGGAGTCCAAGAACGCACTACAGAGCTCGAGAGAGCCTGGCTCTTCTAAATCCCGTACCAAGAACCACGACAGAAGGCTTTGCAGATAGAAAAGGGTTTTTTGTTCTGTTGCAGCTCAGGTATAAGTGAGAAGGCACAGCCCCCGTGTCCGCTCTCTCCACAGCAGCCCCGTTACAGAGGAGGGAGTCACCGGCCCGCCGGCACGGGGTCCATCCCTCACAAGGCAGCAGTGGCGTCGGGTCCCACCTTCCACCTCTGCGCGGCCGACGTCCTTTCCAGCGGGGGTCGGGCTGAGCCAGTTTCAGTAGAAGAGGATCGCTAACCAGTCCGTGCGTACAAAACTGTCCCGGCACAGCTGTCCAGTGCATCAGTCCCGGCGCGTCTCCCCAGGGCCTCTCAGGGGCTCCGAGTCCTCAGGGCGGCGCAGCCTGGAAGCCGACAGGCGGCGGCGGCGGCGGCAACGGCAGCAGCAGGGTCCTGGGCGTCCGTCCTTCCTCCGGCTTCTGGTTCAGGACGGGGTC